CCATCTTCTCCATATGTTCACCTGGAGTCCTTCCTGTCTTCACCGTTTCTTCTGTTATTTAAGTTGGCTTTCGGCTGTAGGTCTTCGACTTTGAATGACATTAGATGTAAATCACCCGTGAAACCCAAATCTCCCAGAGTCTTCTTCTTATCAAAGACCAGCACGTATTCCTGTCTTCTCGCTCCCCCCCCCCCTACATGCACAGTCTTCCATATACCATACCATAACCACGTTGGAAGCAGCAGTTCTCGTCCGATCATCAAAGATAATCCAATCCCTCACAATAAGGAATATCCTTTGAAATCTAAGTAGCAGTGGTTGTTGCTAGTTACTAGTCTCACACCCAAATTTTCTCCTGGGATGACTAATACTGGCAAAGCAAGGTTTAGAAGTGCATCAGTAGGGAATCAATCCTGGACCTCTATAGCATCATAGCTGGACAAGCATTCCTACAACTGAAATACCGACGCACATATGTATGTATACAAAACAAAATGCACATTAAGGCATTAAACACATTTAATGTGTAACAATGATGAAAACACGATAAAACTTAATCAAAATTCATGTGACAGCTAGAAATGTGATCATCAAGGAATTTGTTTATTGATGATATATGCAGGAAATATACTTTTTTTATGTATCACTTCACATTATTGTATGAACGCGCCTATGACATTTTCTTATTCATAATTTTCTAGTGGTTTATTTTCTTTGAATCTTTTGAAGTTAAAAGATGAAATTAATTGAGATGAAAGGATAAGAGGTGTGTTTTGTTGCTAGGCTGTGTTCAAATGCAACACTTCTGGAATAAATAAGTCCATATTTTAGTTTATTTTTATTTTTGATTACAGCTTGATTCCACACCTTATTTTTTTGGTACAGGTATGGAATTTTCAGCATGTGATTATCGGTAGCTCAAATTTTGCAGGCCGACCATAGACATCAGGTGTGAGTCGGCAGAGGATCGAACTCCGGACCATGTACATGATCGGCGAGAGTCCTAAAGGCTGTGCCACCGACGTTCATTCATAAACCTCATATATCTGAAATGATTAGTAATATGCATTATATCGTCAATCTATTTGTCTCTGATACGGACTTTTTTTCATCATAATAAAAGTTCCCTAAATGTGACTATGAACAAAGCGGAATGTGATTAGCTCGGTGATTTAGCGAGTCTAGTCAGGCAAGATAATGTACAGTTATGTTAATAGGCAATATAACACAGATTGGTGGATGGTGGCTAGCAGTGGAATCCAGGATAACGCGAATTTCGTCTTATTTGGGACTCGTCATCTGGATGTACCTGCATTTCTCAGTGAGTGATGATGTTCCCACCGAGGCTCGAACCCAGTGCCCATAGTTTCAAACGCCAAAGCGTTATCCACTAGACCACTTGGGCCCGTTGCACAAGAGGTGGCTCTCATGGCCCAAGTGGTCTAGTGGATAACGCTTTGGCGTTTGAAACTATGGGTACTGGGTTCGAGCTTCGGTGGGAACATCATCACTCACTGAGAAATGCAGGTACATCCAGATGACGAGTCCCAATTAGGACGAAATACGCATCCTGGATTCCACTGCTAGCCACCATCCACCAATTGTATACAAATCAAATCCCCAGACATCGTCGAAGCATCTGCACAAGAAGCCGACATGTCAACCTGAGACCGAGCACTTCGGTCCAATCAATCGACGGGAAAATCAAAAATTCAATTCAATATAACACAGACATTCAAACTCATTAACTTCCAGTCTGGTAAATGTTACTTATATGTTACTCATATCATTACCGCCAGTCAGTCAAATCAGAAGAGGACAATAAATAATCTTAAAAATTCTATTTCAATTCAATTCACGTGCATCATAACATTTTAACAAGTTACTTATTATGAATATAAAAAACACTCGCCTTATTTCCTATCTGATTCTATTTGATCAATTCTCAATGTACATTATCCCATAGGGATTTTTATTCAAATGTCTAATCATCAGTTCCACACATGTATATAAATGAAGGGAAAATGTTGTGCGAGTGATTGAGTGAATTGATATGGTTATGAGTGGCAATAGTTTGTACTCTAAACGTGATCGTATCAGTTAATATTACTTACTGTATAACACTCCACTGTGTGATTTATCAAAATAAAATTTGATCCATAATGGAGTTATACTCTACCAGCATAATAATAATAAATAATTTTTCCTTCACATTCGTCAGTGGAACATAGGGCTTCAAGCTAGTGGCTTGAAGTTTCTGTAGCAGTGTTTAATTTTACAGGATGGGGTTGCTAGCCCCATGCCCAACCTTTCCTCTTCACCAGCTTTACTTCTGGCTGAGTGAGGTAAAGGAATGCGCCGGCCGGGGATCGAACCCCGGACCATAAGCATGGTCGGCGAGCATCCTAACCGCTGCGCCACCGACGCACTACCAGCACAATGACCAAGTTTTATCCTTACCTTATATCAAATGTTATTTAGCCTTAGCTTTATCTGGTTGGGGTTGTTGAAAAGCCGGAAGGAGGAGAAGAAGAAGAGACTATTCGACATCTTCAGTGGTATAACTTTTTATTATGAATGGCAATAAGTTAAAGCATTTTTTCAAAACTCCTTTGGAAAAATTAAATGTCTCAAAAATGTCTGTATCACTTTTATTTTCACTTAGCTTTTACTAATCTTTTTGTTCAATGAAGTGTAGTTTGACTACAAATTTGTTTTTGATTACATCTTGATTCATACATACATAGTATTTTTTGGTACAGATATGGAATTTTCACCATGTGATATCGGTAGCCAAATTTTGCAGGCCGACTATAGAGATATCAGGTGTGAGTCGGCAGGGGATCGAACCCAGGACCATGTGGATGGTTGGCGAGAGTCCTAACAACTGTGCAGCCAACGAACACTACTATAATTCCTCTACAAAGTTCTAATTGACAAATGTCTATTTAATAAGTAGCTGCTTTGTTTCTGTGGGACACAGAAGACAGCTGTCCTACTATTGTGTGGCTCAGGAGTTTTTAATTTGACGTGCTGTTATTTTGGTCTATAAAGGTCAGATTTCTAGTGCTCCAGTGAATGCAGCGTTGCTCTGTCAATGTCTGTCTTTATGAGACCAGCCTGCATTCGCTGCTGGTGTGTTACAGTAAAAAGTAATTCCAGGGTTCGACAACAGCTGTTTAAACATAATAGAGACTATTTGTCACAAAAGTTATTACGCCTTGTGACAGCAGCTACAGTATATCTCGGATATGCATACTGTGAATGTTGTCCTAACAGTTTACATACCGTTCATTATTCGTTGGCGGAATAACTAGTTGACAAAGTCATTAACCTGTGTCATCACGACGTGAAATAATAGGGGAGTATAAAGTTGGCATGCAATGGTACATCCCGACTGACTGGTTAAGGCATAAAATACTACACAAATCTGAGATTGAAAAAGCCATCAGATACAGCTTATAATAGGAACCAAAGGTGATCATATTGAACTTGCCTTCTTCACCTATCTTTTATACTAGTATGATCGATCAGTAAGCAATTTTTTGACTGATATTAATGTTCAAGAAGTCACTGATAATAAATAAATAAGCCACATGCAATTGGCTGTGTATGAGGTATGCAATCAGTTTGCCTAAATTTCCATTGGTGGTATGCAACTACCAGCACTTCATTCACAACTGGTTATTGGTGTAGGAGTATAAAGGACAAGTCCTGAAGCGTCTCTTAATAATCATACCCGAAAACGCTAAACAGAAGATCAATAAGTGAGCCTATACCATTTAAATTCTTGATATCTCTGTGGTTAAACCTACCAAATCAAATTTTATTTGTATTCCGAGTAGGACATAGGGCACTAAGTTTAATTGAATTTTAGATTTTCCCGTCGATCGATTAGACCGAAGTGCTCGGTCTCAGGTTGACATTTCAGGTTCTTGTGCAGATACTTCGATAATGCCTCGGGATTGATTTAGAAGTTAACTGGTGGATGGTGAATAACAGTGGAATCCAGGATAACGCGCATTTCGTCCTATTCGAGACTTGTCATCTGGATGTACTTGCATTCCCCAGTGAGCAATGATGTCCCCACCGAGGTTCGGAAACAATGTCCATAGTTTCTAACGCCAAAGCGTTACCCACTAGACCACTTGGGCCACGAGAGCCACCTCGTGTGCAACGGGTCATCATCCACCAATTAACTTCTAATTACATGCCCAGACATCGTCGAAGCTTCTGCACAAGAAGCCGACATGTCAACCAGAGACCAAGCGCTTCTCTCCAATCAATCGACAAGAATATCTAAAATTCAATTAAATAATTAGTATGAGTCGTTGCACAAGAGGTGGCTGTCCTGGCCCAAGTGGTCTAGTGGATAACGCTTTTGCGTTGGAAACTGTGGACACTGGGTTCGAGCCTCGGTGGGAACATCATCACTCACTGGGGAATGCAGATACATCCAGATGACGAGTCCCAAATAAGACGAAATGCGCGTTATCCTGGATTCCATTACTAGTCACCATCCATCAATTAACTTCTAATAGGGCACTAAGCTTTGACGTATTAGTAATAGTAGTGTTGGTGTTTTACGGAGTGGAATTGCTAACTTTAAACCAAAACTTCTCTCGTTTCCCGGTTTACTGCCAGCAGCTGGTAAGTAAGTGAGGCAAGGTTTAGGGATACATCACCCGGGAATCGAACATCAGACGATGGTCCATGGCTAGGGAGATTTCTACCACTGAATCACCAACAAACCAATGTAACAGGCAGTTCATGCCTCCAAGAAGTGCGCACCAGGTGTTGTAACCCGCATTGTTCAGGAGATTGTTAACCACTTCTCCTTTTCTGATGTATGCAATAGCTACAATTTAGCATATTTTATAAAAAAATTAATACGATTCAACGAGATATCTATAATGTAGAGTTTGTGAGAAAAACATCTCGAGTTATAGAGGAGTTAGTACATATTTAATGGAAATAAATAAATAAGTAAACCTACTTACCATTCAGTGAACAGTGAAGGATTATTTAATATTGTAGCAACAATTCGTGCACCATGTTGAGGTGGATTAGACCAAGTTTGACGAATAATTGACTTCATTTGAGATTTTACACGTGAAGTAACTACAGGATCTTGTGTAATGAAGAGTAAATTGCCTACACGTTCATCTAATTTATGAAAAGAAGAAAAAAGGGGCAAACACACTTAGACACACACATACACAAACATCAAAAACGGAATTAAACAGGACTGAATAAATGAATAGGAATCCTAGTGAGAAGTCGTGGTCCAGCGCGGGCCACCAAGTTGTCAGGTAAAAGAGATTAGTTGCTCACCTACGCCATTGGCTGGCTGGCAGTTGCACTACATACATCGAAAATTTGGCAGGATTTAGAATTCACTCACCGTTCGACAGGGTCTTAGTGGCTGAATAGTCTAAGAGTTCACCTTGCAAACGGAAGGTCCTGGATTCGAACCCTGGCGGGTGGAGGTGCGTGCCGCTGAGTAAGAGTCTCAAACTCGAACGAAACATCTGTTCCGTACTCTCACGTATTCCAATGATCCTCTAACTGATGTCAACTCAGGTTCAACCCACTAACCAATCAAATCCCTGCGAACCTACACTTAATATGAAGAGGAGATGAGACATAATAACACTGTTAACTTTGTTATATAACATTACGTAATTTGATATGGTACAAAATGCTATAAGAGTTTTAGTTTCTTGTTGTGTACTGCTGCTGAGTGGTTAATAGTAAGTTTTCCCCGTCGCCAATTATACTATGTACTCGTCGAGTAGTCCTGACGCAAAAGGAGGGAAATCAGAAGTCCACCAGGTTTACGATGATACTTGTATTTTCCAAACAAGGAAAATAAATGTCACACAAGAGTGAGTGAGTGCAATGGTACGAGTGTACGAAATGTGTGTGAACCAGAATAATGTACAAGTGTCTAATACAAAAGCATATATGAAAATGTCTAATACACATGAACCAATAAGATAACGTTTTACAATGATTGGTTGTAATGTCATGTGATAACAAGGTCATACATTGTTTATTTAGTTAGTGAACAGACAAAGGCATATTGGCAGTTATAATGAAATATCGATCCATTTACACATAGCAAAATATAATAGACTGTCAAAAACAAAACACACATCATATGGGTAAATATCATTTCTTCTTTGTTATAAAACACAAAATAATTGAGCAAAGAATATCCTTTTCGATAATTGCTTCCTCCTCTGGCTCTACAATTATATGTGCATGTTTATATACATAGAATATTCTAGATTAGTAGTCATTAATAATATTGGTGTTTTTTAAATAATATCGATTTGTAAAAGACAAACTGCCTAATTTCGCCTCTTGCATATGTATCTATCAATCTAACTCCTTCGGTGAAGCCAGTTACAAAAGCCGTACGATTGGGCGTGTTTTTCATCCGATTTCCAAACATCACCCTGGCGAGGTAAATTAAGTGAAGGACAAACAAAATCTATTCGTAGCGCTATTCTATTTCATCTTGTGGATACAGAACACAAGATTGATGTCAACAAGGCGGCTTTCAACGTCATTTACAGCATACCAACAAATCTTAACTTCGCCTTAAGAGTTCGATTACTAAATATTTCTGAGGCTTTTAGGATCCATATGAAGAAGCCTAATTTTTGCGTTCAAAAGATGTTAGCTCAGACATTATCCTCACCTTGGCCGTCTCGGTTTGAATGATCCTCAATTTGTTTTAAAAATTTCTCTAATTCTCGTTGATATTCTATTTGCTGTCATAACTTTATTATTATTATTATTTAAGCATCTTTAATGAGCTATGGTGATTCCATTGATCTTACTTTACAAATCGATATTATTTAAAAAACACTAATATTGCTCAAATGAACTGTCGTCAAGATTTAACAAAATAGTTTTAAGATATTTGAGCGCCGAGTGAGAAGTAGACATTTGTAAAAAAAAATTATATTTGTAAAATCTTAGCGAGATTGAAATGAGTAATTCCAACGTTTCCTGTCTTCGGCCATCTGGTCTTAACTTTTTCAGGGAATAGAATCGAAATTAACATAACAGAGGTTTATATATAAGAGCAAATATCTCTTGTTTTTAAAAACTCTGTCCAATTATGCATCAGTCATGAAACAGGTGTCAGCGTGTATTATAAACAAAATTGTATGAGGTGTGATCGAAATTTCACCTCAGACTTACAAGAGATGTTTCTCGTATACATAAACCTTTATTATGTTAATTTCGATTAATTTCCCTGAAGAAGTTCGAACCAGATCGCCGAAAGAAACATTGGAATTAATAATACTGTTATTGACTACTATTCTATTCTTTTTTGTTTTAATTGAACAATACTTGTAGCACAATACCATTCAGTAAATATTATTCATTGTGTGCAATATTAAATTAAACTAGTCTAGCGGTATTAAATTACACTTTAGCACCACTGTATCCAAACTATACTCTCATACTGAAATATATACACATACACTCTATCTGTGTATGTGTCAAGTACACTATTTCCTTTACGGTTATTTTTTTTTAACAAAACAGAATAACGTACACACACTATGTCATTGTGATTAGATGGTGAGAAAACATCGAGATGTGTCCAGGCTTAGACTTAAGTCTCATGTTGATTATGTACTACTTGCTAGCAAAGCATATCAACGGGTTCGAAGGGACCGATATCGAGTAGGCCGAAGGCTTGCAGCAACCGATCAATAACAGTACTAGCCCGAAGTGCATCGTGATAATGAGTCACTTAGCTTGGTTATCACACTTCATAACACTTGACTGGTAGGAAGGATTCAGTGATACAATGATACCACGGAACAAAAAAAAACTTTGTAATAGAGAAGATTTGTAGCTCAGGTGGATGATGATCTCGGCGTAGTTGTGTGTTCTTTCAGTGGGATATTTTAACTGCGAAGTTTTCATTCTCTTACTATCTAGACAACATACTCAGCTCACATATACTTCCCGCCACTAGATTGATTTCTCCTTCTTACACAAAATACTCACACACTGATACTGTTCAAAGTAAAGAAGTATCCTGCTCATGTCATCTCCAATTGCATTTACTAACTCACGCTCACTTGCAGTAGCAAGCAGTACATACGAAGAACTGAGAGGAGAGCATCTCTATTAGACCTTCTAATAAGTATATTCCTCATAATCTTCATATGAAAAATGAATAGGAAAGTGTTTACAAGTGCAATCATTCACTAGGCAGCTCCTGATTGATACAGGATATACAAGTCGAAATTAGTCAAACCATCAAAATAAAATAGTATACAGAGAAAGCAGAAATCTTTGAAACACTATCCCTGTTCTTGTTCTGTTCATACAAGTTAAGACACAACCGGATGCATGAAATACTTTTACACTTATCAAAACCTACTTCTCTTTTTTACAGTAATCTCACACAATCAAACTGATTTCTTGAAAAACATTTATTTAACAGACGTTAAAAGTTGGATTCGACAAATATACGTAAGAAATTGATGATGCTGAGAAGACCATTTAGTGACATCACGCACCAGACAAAGTCTCGAGTGGAACCCAGGGGGAAAAAACGATAAGCTGTGGGTGAGTCTGAGGATGACATGCAGGAGATCGTGTGATAAGAAAATGAAAGCCTATGTATGGGCAATAGTGGAGGTAACTAAAACAAAAAAAAAGACTGCAGATGTTCTCCACTCGGAACCAATAGGTATAATAATGATGTCAATTGGATTCATGAGACAAGTTTACGCGTCCAGTCAGAGATGCATCGATCAACTGTGCACTCATCTTACTAGTTTACCACTTTTGATTTCACATGATATATATAGTAAGTGCTTTGAAATAATGAGTAATTGCATAGCTTGCTAAGTGAAAGTAAATACAACTTATAAGTATGTAGGCAATAAGACAAATAACAAGGGAAAAAACCTCAAGTCAAGCCATCCCAGTTATTTTAAGTTATTAGAACTCATATTGTGCATCGGTGACACAGCGGTTAGGATGCTCGCCGACCATGCTCTTGGTCCGGGGTGCGATCCATGACCACAGACGCACACTCCCAAACCTCACTTAGCCAGTAAGAAAAGCTGGTGAGGAGGAAAAGTTGCGAATGAAGGTGACAACCCCATCCTGTTAAAATAAACACAACTGCTACAGAAACTTCAAGCCTCTAGCTTGAAGTTGCCCTATGTTCCACTGGGAACGTGAAGGAATAAAAAAAAATAGGACTCATATTAGCCAGAAGAGATTTTCCATTTACTAGGCTGTGAGCAACGTTAATTGTGTGAAGGCTGATGACATTACTCAGCTGGTCAGGAATGAAGCGAGTCGGGAATCCAGCCGAGAACACACTAGGTGAACCATTGAAAACCAGAACTGGAGTACTGGACAGCTGCTGTCTCATCCTAGTTTGGGAATCATAGGCAGTACGCATCCACCACCAGAGTTCTAACACGGGACCTACCGGTTACAAGGCAAGCTTGCTCGTATACTATTCATCCACTGGGACCCGACTCACTGGCCCATGAATTCTAACTTCTACCAATTCGTGATTTAGCGCGACCCTAACCAATTGATAGAAGTTAGAATTCATGAGCCACTGAATCGGGTCCCAGTGACTGAATGGTATACGAGCTCGCCCCGTAACCGGAAGGCCCTGAGTTCGAACTCCCCTGTGGTGGATGCGTACTGCCGATGATTCCCAAACTAGGATGAAACAGCAGCTGTCCAGTACTCCAGTGCTGGTTTTCAATGGTTCTCTAACTGATATCAATCCATGATCAACTCGGAAAAACATAATTAACCCTTACAAACCAAACAATAGAAAAACATTACTTCATTACTTGTCGACTCCAATTTGAAGTGAGTTCATTGAATTTTCCACCCAAAATAACAACCCAAACTTTCTCCAATATTATTCTAAACTTTATCATAATTCATTTCTTTTTTTTTCTTTTAGTAAAACAGACTACATAAAATCAATGAAATATTTATTGTCTTAAAATTGTTAAATTAAATTATTAAATAATCGATGTTATTGAAGGCCTCGTTTCTGATCTTATTAACACTAACTATTTTTATCCCAAAAATTCATTATGATTGGACGGGAAATTGTATTCCAACTATGAACTGATCGAACAATC